GGACAGGCCACAGAGAGGCCGCGGCAGGCCTGCCGGCTGCCGAGGAGGGTTTGAGGGCGGGGCCTGTGGGTCTCTAACGTCGCCTTCGGAAGCCCATAGAACAAGCTTTCTGGGCCAAGCTGCGGCCTGCAGGAACGTTTGCGGGCGGGGCCGGTGGGCGAAGAGAAGGGGCAGGCTTCGGACAGGCCACAGAGAGGCCGCGGCAGGCCTGCCGGCTGCCGAGGAGGGTTTGAGGGCGGGGCCTGTGGGTCTCTATAACGTCGCCTTCGGAAGCCCATACTGGGATGTCCCCTGAAGATCTTATTGTTTATCAGGAGTTACTAAAGAAGTTATAAAGTTTACAGGACTTAGCTAAGTGGTTAAGTTGTGAGTGAAAAGCTAGCAACTTAGCAGGTTTGCTAACTGGTTAGCTAACTGGTTAACAGTTTGTATATAAAAATGCACCTCGGTTAGGTTTTTGTGTTTTCTTAATCAAAAAATATACATTTACATAAATATTCACAGTGTCTTTGTATATTCTCCCTGATAGACATGCTTGTGAATTGACTGTTTTCTGCTTCAAAAAGCAAAAACAATTTTGTGTGTTCATGTGAAAACACATTCAAGTGTGCCTTGGAATGTGAATCCATTGTCCAGGCTTTGTTGTTTCCAAACGCAAACAGAGTTAATCTCTATTTGTGTTAGTGTAAAATATTTTGGTTTTGGTTCCAGGTGTAGTATGTATAGGAGGATGGACATGGGTGCATTCTCCATAAGATTGGATCACTCATGCAACCCCAAATCCAGAGCAACACATAGGGCAATGGCCTTTGCCATGTACCCTTTCTCTACAGAGTTAATATCTAGTTAGTGTAAAATATTTTGGTTTTGGTTCCAGGTGTAGTATGTATAGGAGGATGGACATGGGTGTAAGATTGGATCACTCATTGTGCTATTTGGAGAACACTCTGCTGGACTCTAAACTTGGTGAGTGCCAGTGGGTTTGACCACCAAATGAATCCAGTACAGCATGGGGCATAGCTATATTAGCCCAAATGGACTTCCAAATGGCACCTCCATGAATTCCCAAATGGCACTTTGGTTGAGCCTGCCCACTCTATGATAGATCCAGGACTTGATCCTTTCATTGGGCCTATCAGGCATCTGGCATTGGATCATCTGCAGATCCCCTCAAGAGCTGTTCTCCAGGTTTTATGTCAAAGTAGCTAGTCCAACAAATGTCCACTGATTGATATGGACAACCTTAAACACCAAAACTCTTGATCATGCAAACGAACATATCTTACCATGAATTAGCATGAACCTATCTTTGGCCTGGTTGGCCCTTGAATGGGACATGAAAATCACCCACACGAAGCCATCAGGCTTGCAACAAGTAGTCCATGACATGTTCTGTGAAATATAGGTAAACTTTAAGCATCAAAATTCTTGATCATGCAAATGAACACACCTTACCATGAAGTAGCATGACTCTATCTTTGGCTGATTGGCCCTTGCATGGGGCATGAGAACCACCCACATGAAGCCATCAGGCTTGCAACAAGTAGTCAATGACATGCTATGTGAAATCTATGTGCCATGAGGACACTGGCAAGAACACATGCAAGAACACACTAGTACCACCAGGATGTTTTGAAACCTGCTGGAATGCGCTCTTTTGCTCACTTCATTTGAAGTGGCACAAGGATTCTGAAGTCCTTGTTTTCAAAGTGTGAATGTGCAGTGGTGCAAGCCAAGGAAGAAGTATGCACAAACTTTGCAATCTCATTCTGTCTAACAGTAGCAAAGCATCCAGTCTTGTCCACTTGAAGGACTTCGAGCATGGAAACCAAAGAGTAAGCAATGTTGTCAATGTCCACATGCATCCAGACTTGGCAAACTTGCAGGCTGTTGGTCGAACTGTGAAGGAAACAAAAATCACCTTTGCTGCAAATACCTGCTGGTTGGAGGTGTGCCTGTGAAGAGCTGTGCACAATGGTGTCAGCAGGCAACTCAAAGGCATTTAACACAATGGCTTTCAAAGCCTTGCTTGCAGCACCTTTGTTGACAAGCCTTGCCTTCTCTGAAAAGAGGTTTGGTTCCTTCAGCTTGGCAAGGTCATGGCAAATAAGCTCTGAAAGTACACTTTTTTCAAAGGTCAAAGTGTTGCTGATCGAGGTTGCATATCCTTAACAGGGTAAGGGTCAATGAAACCTGTGGTGGATAATAATGACATTGGTTGAACATTGAACCAACACAGTAAACACTAAACACTTTCTTGAAATAGCCAAGCATCGCTTTACAACCTTATGTTTTCTTTCTTGGACAAAACAGCTGGGAAGTTGACCATGTTTTTGGAGATGAGTGCCAAAGTGAAGACACCAATGAAATTTGGTATGCATATTCTCTTTGAAACCACATGATATGCAAAGAGAAAGGAATGTCGTCACAGCTCTGTCAACCATAGCAGGGGTAATCTTTCCCTTGGGTACCAGCTGGATCAGGTCAATGATGTCTGCAAGTGCAAAGAACACCTGACACTTGTCCTTTGTAGATTGCTCTGCATTTGGGATGACAATCTGCATAAGAAAGTATCCAAAAACACCCAAAAGACCTATAGCTTCAGATGCAGTGCATTTGAAAGTGTTTGCCTTCGCATTTGCAACCTGTCTTTTTTTGGAGAACACAGATGCCAAAGGTGTTGTCATTGACTTTGGCAGGACCCAGGTTCTGAGGCATTGCTCAATGGTGGGGTACACATTGCCAAACATACCATCAAGCTCCACCAGCAACAAATGCATAATTGTTTGGAAAATGCCTGTGACCAAGAAACAATGCATCCAGTCATGTATGAACTGAGAAATTGGGAGAACATCTTGGGACAAGCTCCTGCAGTGGAGTAAACCATGGATGCTGTAGTTGAATCCAACAGCTTGCTGCCACAAAGCAAAGTCTCCTTTGTTAAGAGTTGCCTTTTTCTCTTCAAGTCTTGATATTGTTTCAGCAATGTCTTGGTCAGTGGATTGCTGAATCCTTGTGAGGTCCCATTCATCTGCCACTAGGGTGTTGGATCCATCTTCTTGTAGTAATCCAGACTTTGAAGTAACCAAATTTCTGCAAAATATGCAGAACTTTGTTCCTGCATCACCTTTGAGATTGAATATGTACTTGTGCGCAGATCCATCTTGTAAGAATGCACCCAGTGTATAAAACATTCTAATTGTACACCCTCCCTGATCTTTCAACAAGAACCCTGCTTCTTTGGGATTGCAGGAATCTGGGCGCAGGATGCAATTCAAAATAACTTGTGTCACTTGGGACATCCCAGACTCAAGTTCTCCAACAAAACTTGATCTACAAGCCATGATGCAAAACCATGCCTCTTCTTTGCTGAGGGCAACTGGACCAAATTCCATAAAGGAAATGTATATGCATTGGACTTTTCTGCTAACATTTGCACTTAACACATTTCCTGGTACCACCTCATCACTGTAATATATGATTCTCCAGGGCTTTTGTGCAGTGCATGGGTGTTGGGTCAGTGTCCTGGCCACCAACTCTTGCAGTCCACCACCTTGTTGATATGCAGCATGTAACATTGTGAGAAAGTTCACAAACAATAATGGCTTCTCTGCACCATCCTTGCAAACAACATTGGTAGTACTCAGCATAGGTCCATATGCATTGTAACCTTTCACTGTGTGGTCTCTGGCTTCAGCCACATGTTTCCTGGAATGTAGGTCAGGAAGACCATTGAGTTCAATGTCTTGAATCACTTCTGAGAGCGCATTTGCTGTGATCTGAGGGTTGTTTCTCCTCAGGCCTTCCAACCTTCTAAGTTTGGAAGCCCTAGCATCCATGGCATAGAATGCTGAATGTGTAGCCTAAAACATGGTATGCCATGATAAGGTGGTGCATGTAACACTTGAAAATGCCAACACTTCAAAAGACACACATGATGTGAGGCCTTGTGGGCCTATAGCATATGATGATGAATTTGACATGAACACAAACCACAAGCTTGAAGGCTTAGCACATGATTGCATGTGCATGTTGTGAACAGGATGACACAGCAACAAACTGTGAGCCACCAACACTAAGTGCAAACTTAAACCAATTGACATACACTGCTTGACAAAAGTGCTTGCAGTTCTAGTCATAGAGTTATATTTGGTAAGCTTTTGATATTGGTCCCACACATGAAAACATTATGAATGACACATGCAATGCCTTGCAAACACATAGTGAAGGATTGCATGAAAGAAGCTTATGCTTGATAAATGATGTAGCCATGCGCATGAGCATGAAAGCTCTAGCAGTCAGTCTTTTCACAGCAAATCATGTGTACTGTCTTTGTAATCACTACACAGGCCTTGTTAGCCCAAACTTCATGTACAAACTGTTGAGCACAGTATCTACATCTCTGTCTTCAAGTCTGTAAGTTGTTTGGAGTCTAAGGAGATAGTCTTCAGCAGAAAGCCTCAGATTGAGAAAACTAAATACACAGTAGGCACCCCTTACCATTTGTGAAACAACATTGCCACAACAAAACGGTATATCCAAAATCTGTTTAATTTGTTCATCCATGAACCAATCTGTCCACCCTGAACTGTAAAGAGATACTCTCCACATCCTTCTTCCATATGCCACCCAATACTCCATCAGAAACATGCGCCATGAGTCTCTCCAGTGCCTCTGAAAGTTTGCCAACACTTGGGCAGGGTCAGCTGGCTCTTCGGCCATGAGTGCAATAAGTTCAGGCAGAAGTGGCATTTTGAACAATATAGGTGCTGCATTCCATGACATGGACATGTACCTTTTGATGTGCGTAATGCATTGTACATGCCATGCAAAAGCAACAGGCTTGTCAGGCACCAGTTGGAAAAGCTTAGCATGAAAGCTGCAAAGCCACTGCAAAAACAAAGTCTCCTCATACAAGCTAGTCAGCTATCACAAAAGCCATAAAGCCATGAGACATGTTGCATGAGAGATGCTGCGCACATGTTTTCCCAACACATCACTCCAAGCTATTGATGTGACTCTATACCCCTTTGCAAACTTGTCAAAATTGATGTGAATCTACTCCTTTGGAAACTTAGCCAAATAGGCAGCCTTTGCCTCATGCAGGGCCAGGCTACCAAAAGCTTTGGCCTCCTCTTCACTTGCACCAGCATCAGCAGCCCTTTGTCTGGCCAGCTTGTAGTGCTTGGAGGTCCAGCTATTCAATTTGCCCTCCCACCTGTCCTCAGGCTCCCCTGAAGTATAGGACATCCCAGCTGTCACAGTCTTTTCCATTTCAGCAGCAGTCCTTTTGCTTTGCCTGCCACCAGCTTTGGCTTTAGCTTTGGCTGCAGGAGTGATCTCTGACTGCTTGGGGTCTTCTGCTTTGGTGGCATCAGGTGAAGTATGCTTTGCTTTGGCCTTTGCTTTG